AATTTTATTTTATTTTTTGTATTTTTAGCACAGGGTCTCACTACACAGATCAGCCTCGTGGTGAACCTCCTGTTTTCAGTCTCCCAAGTGCTGGGATTACAAATGGGCACCACCACTCCCAGTCTTAATCTCCATCTCTGTGTGCCCCGGGGGTGGGGCTGGCACAGGGAGGATCAAACACGTGTCCCTGCTTAGGCAGGTGCTTTAGTCCATTGCGCTATCTGGCCAGCCTTTGTTCCTGATTTTAGAGTGAAAGACTTTATGTTTTAACCATGTAATATGGTAAGTGCTCGGCATGTTTTTATGCCAAATAAAATCATTTAACAAAAAAAATGGCTGAGTGCATCTGGCCAGAGCCAACATTCGCCCTGTTTTAGGGATTGAACGCACCCCAGAGGAGGAGAGGAGCTTCCTGTCTGCAGAAGCCAGTATTCCAGAGGACAGGGAGGTGATGTAGTGTACAAGGGAACAAGGGCCATGAAGGCTAAGTCCTAGAGCCAAGGGCAGGCACCCTTGGCACTTCTGATGAGTCAGCACCATCCCCGGTCTCAGGGCTTTTTCTCCAAGATAAAGCTTTGAGCTGAGAAACACTTGCAGAATGACACTCGCTGCTGCTCAGTACCCAACATCATGGCAGGTCTGTGGGGTGAGTGCTGGAGTCCAGCTTCATTTTTTGGCACTGGGTGTGGAACCCAGGGCCTCACACATGCTAATAAAGCACTCATTGTACTATTATAGACAACTGAGGAAGGATAAAAAAAAAGTACCATAAGCAGGCTGGGCATGATGATGCATGACTGTAATCCCAGCACTGCCGAGGCTGAGGAGGATTGCTATGAGTTCAAGGACAGCCTGGGCTATGCCCCTCCCCTCCAACTACATGACAAAATCCTGTCTCAAAAAAAAAAAAGAAAGAAAGAAAGAAAGAAAGAAAGAAAGAAAAGAAAAAAATATCTTAGGCAGTCAGACAAAGCTAGACTCTCAAGAGAGTCAGTGTAGAAACAAGAACATGTTGCTACTGTGGCAGGAGGTGCATCTGTTGAAAGCCAGGCCTCAAGATGAAAGCAGAATGACCAGGCCTACATGCCTCCCCAAGGGATAAGCAAGGACTTGAAGGTTATACTATAATTGGTACCATCTGGCCCAATAAAGCCCAGCTAGACATCGGTTACCCAGGTGGGTGACCAGGACTGCCTAATCCATCCCTTCCTGAAGAAGGTCCTTATTCTTTCCATGTGCACTTGTTATGTGACCTGCTTGCCCACTGGATCAATATTACTTAAGTGGCTACACTTGTAATCTTAATGATTGTAGTTTTTTTTGTGGAACTGGGGATTGAACTCAGGCCCTTGCGCTTGCCAGGGAAGTGCTTATTCTACTGAGCCATCTCCCTGCCCCGATTATAGTTTTTTAAAAATGTATTTGGTATAGGGTCTCACTACACAGCTCTCTCTCTCTCTCTCTCTCTCTCTCTCTCTCTCTCTCTCTCTCTCTCTCTCGCTCTCTCTCTTTCTCTCTCGCTCTCCCTCTTTCTCTCTCGCTCTCCCTCTCTCCCTCCCTTATGCTTTGTGCTTGCCAGGCAAGCACTTATTCTACTGAGCTATCTCCCCAGCCCCTTGGTTGTAGTTTTTAACCAAAATACATCCACAGAAAACAGCAGTATAGTCTTTAAAATGTGATTCTGGCACATGCCAGTACTCAACGCAGAGCAGGAGATCAGCCAGCCTGGGCTACATAGTAAGTCCTCAAGGCAAGGTTGAACTACATAAGCAAAACCATGTTTCAGAAAAATAAAGACAAAAATTTTAAAATAAAAACAAAAACAAAAACAGCTGGGCATGGTGGGGCACAACAAAGTTAGATAATGTAAAAGATTCTACTTTTTTTTTTTTTATTTTAGGGAAGGGTCTACAGAGTGTTCAGGGTCTCACTGGTAGATCGGACTTGGAGTGATCTGCCTGTTTACAGCCTCCAAGAGCTGGGATTACAGGTTCGCTCCACCACAACATCTCAGTTGCTGTCTCAGCACACCCCAGGTGCGGGGGTGGGGCCGGCCCCCGGCAGACCCAGTGATTGAACCCCTGGTCTTTGCACCTGCTTGCAGGAACTTTAAAGTGCTGAGCTATTTGACTGGTCCTGTAAAAGATTTTGATCAGTTCATGATATATGAATTGAACTCTTTTTTTTTTTTTTTTAATGGAACCAGGAACTGTACTCAGGCCCTTGTGCTTACCAGGCAAGTGCTTATTCTACTGAGCTTTCTCCCCAGTCCCAAACTGCTGTTAAAGCCATTAAAAAACTGTTGGCTTTGGGCTGAGGATGTAGCTCATTGGTTAAGTTCTTGCTTTTTAAAAAAAATTTATTTATGTGTGTGGCCAGCTCAGCCCACCAGGGGGCGGGGCTGGCTGGCATGTGGTGCTGGGGGATTGAACCTTGGTCCCTGAGCTTTAGCTAAGCTTGTTCTAAGTAGATGCTTTAGACCACTGAGCCATCTCACCAGCCCCAGGTTCTTGCTTTAGAATGTGCTTAATTCAATGGTTAACATTGAAAAAAAGGGGCCAGGGAGATGGCTCAGTAGGATAAGAGCTTGACTGGCAAACACAAGGATCTGAGTTCAATCCCCGGTTCTGCAAAAAAAAAAAAAAAAAAAAAAAATTGAAAAAAATTGAAAAAAAAAATTAAAAAGAGAAAAACTTGTTAAATGGAGATAATACAGTGCTTAAATACTATTAGCCCATGAAAGTGTATCTCTCTGGTGAGTATGGGAATATAAATTCTTTTTCTTTGTATTTCCTAATTTTTGCTACCATAAAAAAACCCTAAACTTTAATTAGGAGACAGTTTTTAAAATCTTACACAAATGCACAGGTTTTTTTTGTTTTTGCTTTTTAATGTATTTGGTACAGGGTCTCACTACACAGCTCGGACTTGTAAGTGACCCGTTTTCAGCCTCTGCAGCACTGGGATTACATGCGTGCGCTACCAAGCCCAGACTTGGTGCCAGCTCATCGTACCAGGGGGTGGCCAGCTCAGCATGCTGGGGTGTATGTCCCGTGGTACAGGGGATGGCGAACATTGGTCCCTCTGGTCCCTGCGCTTGCCTAAGCAGGCGCTTAGTCCACTGAGCTTTCTCGCCAGCCCCACGGTTTGTTTTTGAGACAATGTCACAGTTTAGCTTAACCTTGCATTGAAAAAAATAAATAAATAAATAAATAATAAATTAAA